AGTCACGTCTCCTTTCCTTCCTCGTCTTTCTCTTGCCCTTGTTTTATTATTGCCAGAGGGTGCATGTGCTCAGTACAGGGAAACAGAGCGGGAGAAAGCACATACCCCAGTGAGGCGTGCTCACGCCACAGTCCCGTCTCCGTTTCTCCATCCTGTCGGGATGTTGGGTGCCCACACACGTGCACCTGCCGTGTGTTTAAGCCACTGCGGCCAGGATCGAACTGCAGCGGGCCCTGTGGGGTCTGGTCACTCAGCCACTAGGCTAGGAGGCTGGTCCAAATTCTTTTTCCAACTCAGAAATCTATAGTGAGGGCCAGCAGGTGGTGTAGTGATTAAGGTGCTAAGCTCCCACATGGCTGATCACGGTTCAAGTCCCAGAACCTGCAGGTTGAAAATCACACCAGGTGCCCAAAATTCCAGGACGAGAAGGGATTGCAGCATGGCCATGCCCCGGGTGGGGATTTCCCACCCTCCCCCTCATGCTCCCTGTCCCTCTTCAGCCAGCGCATGCGCTATAAAAATCTTAACGAAAAGTAAAGAGAAGGAAAGAAAGTCGTCATGGTTTTGTTGCTTTGAACTCAGTATTTAAAACGGCCCATAGGGCCAGCAGGTGGCATAGAGGTTAAGGCCCTGGGACCCTCACGTTAACCCCGTGGCTGAGTCCTAGACTGGTGGCTGGAACACTGCACCAAACGTGTGCACCATGCCCAGGGTCTAAGGGAGAATGAAGAAGGGACCACAGTGTGGCCGTACCCCAGGGGTGATTTCTCACTTTCCCTCTCTCTCTTGTCTCTCTCCGGCAAGCGAACATACCCTACAGCAAACAGTAAGAAAATAAGAGAGCCCTCCAGGCCCCGCTCTCCCCATTGGTACCCCCCCCCCCGTCTGATCCTGTAAGGGGTCAGTGCGATCACACCGTGACATTCCGCATGACTGTCCGTGTTGCAGTCTTTTTCTTTTTTTTGGAGAGATTTTCACTATAGGGCGCTTGCGCTCACCAGACAGACAGAGACATAGAGACAGAAAGCGAGAAATCACCCCCCCAGGGGGATGGTCACACTGCAATCCCTTCTCCTCCATTCTCCTCTCGGGATCTTGGGCATGCATGCACACGTGCCCGGTGTGAGTTGTAAGCCACCGGGTCCGGGACGCAAACCATGGTCGACTATGTGGGAGTCCAGCGACATAGCCATTACGCTATCTGCTGGTTCCCATTGCAGTCTTTCTTTATGCTGCTGACTCCTTACCCGAGCCTTGAGGACGCCCTCTCAGGGCTGTTGGCCGTGGCCCCTCCGCCTTGCTCCAGCTCTCTGTCCTCTTTCTTTCTCTGGGTCCCGATTCTCCCCAGCACTCGGGGTAGTTGGCTCAAACGTCGTAGGCCCCCTAGAAGTGCTCGTTTTCAGTTACGTCTGTGTCTCCTCCAGGCCGTGTGTGAGGAGCAGCAGCCTGGGCTCAAGGGCAGAAAGGGGAAGGAAGAGAAGTCAAAAGGGAAGGCAAAGGTGAGAACTACTGGCCTGGAGAGGTGTGGGGTCTCGGGGCAGCAGTTCATCAGACCAGGCGCTTCTCCCATAGCCTCCAAATAAATTTGCCGCCCTGGACAGTGAAGAGGAGGACGAAGAAGAAGCAGTGAAAGAAAAGCCTCTCAAACAAGGGAAGGAGAAGGCCAAGAAGGCAGAGCAGGTGAGCACTTTGTGTCGGGGAGAAGGGGGTGAGAGACTGGGCACCGCGTCCCCGAGAGTCCGGTCCAGCGAGTTCATTGCTATCCAGAGCGTTTTCTATAAAAGGCCACACTAAGTGTTTCTGGCTTCGTGGGCCACATATGATTTCCCCTAGCATATTCTTCCCCCCCCCCCTTTTTTTTCAATAGTAACCAAAAAGATAAGAACCATTTTTAGCTCGTGGGCCATGCAAAAACGGGGGTCGGGTCAGATTTGGGCTGCGGCTTTAGATCGCAGTGCCTGAGCCCAAGAGGAGAGGGCCCTTTGCTGGTCTGGGCTCTGACCCTGCCCTTCGCTGGCTGGTGTGTGACTTGGAATGTACCTTTCTACCTCGTTGGGTCACGGTTGTCTCATCCGTATGATAGAAGGAAGTTGAGTGATGTTTAGAATCTGTTTATGATGGGACCAGCAGTTAGCATAATGGCTATGTCACTGGACTCCCATGTAGTCAACCGCAGTTCAAGTCTCAGACCCAATGGCTTAAAACTCACACCGGGTGCGTGTGCATATGTGCCCAAGATCCCGAGAGGAGAATGGAGAAGGGATTGTGACGTGGCCGTCCCACCAGCGGGGGACTTCTTGCTTTCTGTCTCTCTGTCTCTCTGTCTTTCCAGCAAGCACATGTGCCCTACAGCAAAAACCTCTCCAAAAGAAAGATGAATCTGTTTATGTTTAGCACTTCTTAGTTGTTACAGGGCATCTATGCTCATCAGAGAGAGAGAGAGAAAAAGTGAGAAATCACCCCCCCAGGGGGACCGGCCACACCACAGTCCCTTCTCTGGTCTCCTCTTGGGATTTTGGGCTCGCACGCACATGTGCCCAACATGTTTTTCAAGCTGCCTGGTGCAGGACTCGAACCTCAGAGTTGGCCATGTGGGATCCAGCGCCTTAGCACTTTCCGATGGTGATTGTCCTGCATTCCTCACTGGCTGTACGTTAGGCCTCCCTCTTCCTTTCCTTGCATGTTAGCATGTACACCACAGAAACGCTTAGGTACAGGTGGAACTCTCTCTCCAGTTACATTACGTTGGAAGCCACATTTATACAAACATACACATCGTCAGGAAGGACACGTATGTCGTTACACGTCGTCTGTCTCCTCCCGGTCCTGGGGAGACATTGGTCAAGGACAGCAAGGAGACCAGGGGTTGGCGTGAGAGTGAGAGGGTCCAGATAGCTCAGGACTTTGGGTGGAGAAGGGAAGAGCCCTGTGGACGGGGGTGAAATCGGAGTTCTGGAAGGGGTTCCTAGTTTCTGCCATGCGGTTCTCACAGGGTTCAGGGGAAGAAGGAGAAGACGAGGAGGAAGAGGGGGAGTCTAAGGCGGATGACCCCTATGCTCACCTCAGCAAGAAGGAGAAGAAGAAGCTGAAGAAACAGGTCAGACTGGCTCTTGGTCAGAGGCGGGGGGATTTGATTTTTTCAACGCTGCAACTAAGGACTGCTCTGCGGGGACAGGAGAACGTGCTCTGGGCTACTCTGAGTGGGACAGTCGGCGGGAGGAGAGGTGTGCTCCGCGACCCTCACCCCGGTGTCTGATGACGTCGGGCTGTCTCGGTGACGGGAAACGCAGCAGTGGGCTCCAACCTCGTTCCCTCTCCTCAGATGGACTTCGAGCGCCAGGTGGCCTCGTTAAAAGCAGCCAATGCTGCCGAAAACGACTTCTCCGTGTCCCAGGCAGAGGTGTCTTCCCGCCAGGCCATGTTAGAAAATGCGTCTGACATCAAGGTGAGGTCTGAGAGGCCTCCCCGGAAGGAGGCAGTTCCCATCTCCCCGAGTGGCTGTGGTGATGGGGGGGTGCGGGTCTACGGCTCAGTCTGGGAGGACAGCGTGGAAGCACCGTCTGCACCCTGGGTTCTACCATCTTAGCTGAAGTTAGAAAAGACAGCTAAGGGACCAGCAGATGGCGTAATGGTTATGTTGCTGGACTCAACGGGTAAGTCGGCCACTGTTCGAGTCCCAGACCTGTCAGCTTAAAACTCAGGCCAGGTGCGTGCGTGTGTGCACGCGCGCCCAAAATCCCAAGAGGAGAGTGGAGGAGACGGGATGGCAGTGTGGCCGTCCCTGGGGGTGATTTCGTGCTTTCTGTCTCTCTGTCTCTCCAGTGAGTGCACACACCCCATAGCAAAAATCTCTCTTGAAAGAGAAAAAAAAGCCAATTAAAGTAGAAGGGTCCCCCCTTGGAGAGACTGAGTGGGACAGACTGGACCGGCTCAGGGTGGGGCACTCCCATCAGAGGCAGTGCCTGAGGTGCTAGTTTGCTAGAGGCTTCCCTGCAGGGAGGAAGTGGCAGCCCCTGTCCCGATGGCAGAAAGAACTCTGACGTTGGGAACCAGCAGTTGGCGTAATGGCTATGTTGCTGGGCTCCCCCGGAGGGCGCCGCGGGTCG